ATCCTGGCAAAGACCAAGGTCTAACGCTAGAGGGAAAACACAGTTCAGTATCGGGGTAAATGTCTTGCTGAACCGGAGTAGGCAAATGATATTGTCCTGATGAGCAAGGAGGAGTACGGGGAGGAAACAATGTCACCTGAAGGCTTGCTTAACCAGTGCAGCTGTGAATGCCGGATACTACTTTTGCACTAGAAAATCCAAGGTCGTGAGAAAACCATTCAACAGGTGGCCTAAAACTGGAAGCTGAACGGCACAGGAGGCAAATCAATTTAATTATCTCGGTTCCATAATCTTCAGTGATCGCATATCCAACTAAAGTCAAATAGGAGGATTACCCTAGCCTCAAGAGCCTTTGGGGGCCTGTCAAATATTTGGGTTGAGAAAGGAGTATTTAATCCTACGAAAATCTGCATGCACCTTGCATCTGTCGGGTCACTGTTGTTGTATGGCATGGAAACAGTGTCTCCAAAGTCAGAGCAAAATGACCGTTGAACTGTCTACAGCAGCGTTAGCCTTGGCGCATAATGACGTTTAAATGACAGGACCACTAAATCACTCATTTCTCTTCCGGGCACAGGTGACTTCAGTAGATGTGGAAATTAAGAGAAAGACGCTGGCCCTGTTTGATTAACTGGTTTAGCATAAACTATATACTCCAAACCTTGGGCTTCTTGTGTGTGAGTCAAAGCACTAGATGTCGGCTAGGAGGTGAGTATCCAACATGAAGCAATATGGCAGAACCAGATCTGCTTTCAGAGAAGAATCAGAATACAACAGACGGTGCTTCATATCAAAAGTGTTCAACTCATGCAAACCCTTTGGAAGTTTCAAATCATGGCGTTCTGCTGATGCAAACACGTCAGTATGATAATCTAGACAAATATCCTCAACACAATGGCGACGGGGAGACAGACTATCGCTTTATTTGTCTGACGCAGGTTTGAGTCACTTATAGGTAACTGGCATTTTTGATCATGTCGTCTTCTGCAGCAAAAGTGAAATTAATTCACCGGATATGGATGTAACCAGAAAATCAATATTTAAAATCTTTATTTCACTATCAACGTTTCGGCCAAACGGCACTGGTCATTCTCTGGGCAAGCACTGGGACGGCAAGGACCGACGTAAGGTCAGGGCAGTTTTTCAGCAACGCTAGAATTATAACAGATTTTTATGATTGGTCTTCTTATTAAGCCGTCCGTTCAACAGGAGCACAGTATGCAAGGCAATTACATTACTGGCGTCACATTATTCGTTCTTTGTCAAGTCTTCGCTTGACTTGACGCAGCCTCATATCGACTATCACAGTCCTTCAAACCTCTTTTCTGATCTTTTAACTCTTCTTCGCTCCTTGTCAATGTTTGTACTACGCAGGTTGCATAGCATCTCACCCAACGGAGGCGTTGCATCTGGATAGCAAAATCGCACGAAAGCTGACACAAATATATGATTTGCATCTGGAGAATCTGTCATTAGTTTTTTTTTTTGAAAACACATCGAAGACTTCCAAACGAATCTGTACGATGTGACAAACGAAGAATCAAACATTCCTGGACTTCTTACCAGTTTGAACGTGATGGGTCTTCTGATTCCATAGTTGACAGCTCGAGAAACAAGGAAATTATTTTATTTACAAAAATTGCAACCTTTCTATCGATTGGCATCGGTCATCATCAGGGAATGTAGATGAAACAAAAACGAACTGTCGGGTCAGCCGGTACTTGCCCCGATTGATTGGACGCTAGGCCGGGAAGGTTGCCAATTAGAATTGAATTATGCTCAACCCCGTGGAAATGTCATTGCGGCTAATGCAGCCGTTGCAAGTTCTATTCTTGCGGCAACGATATGTAGCGACTCCTTGTATGACAAGTTCACCTTGCCCTGATGTTCATCGACCACCATACATGGCTGTTGTTAAAGTCACGAACATTCTCCAGGGCATGATCAGCGTTACCACGCCGGATGGCGTCAATCTAGTTTTGACGCTCGACAGGTCTTGCCAATATATATATCCGGTCACAGCTGAATTCCTAAGGTTTTGCCGCTGCAGAAAAGTACATGAAGAGTGTAGATTTTTAAATATCGTCTAATTTTCTGACATATGCCTGACATGTATGGTAGCAAAGTGGGGGGAATTGCAATCAAATGAGGGCAGGACTAAACTCTGATTGTTTAAATACATAATCAATTAAATATTTGCCATGTCCATTTTCGATAAATCTAGATGAATAGTGCTTGACTTCACTACTGAAAAGTCGGTCCTCACGGCAATAGCTTAAAGCGTTATGGCGCATGCCTTTATTGATAAATCAACGCGCAAGCTATCATTCCTACAACCGATCGAAAATCGACAAAGTCGAACTGTGTTTATTTGGGCCATTTCTGATGCGTCGCAAATCCGACATTTGGATCCATGCTCCATAGTGTTGGCAATAACTAAGGATTAATAAGCATTGGGCTATACCAGCCAAAAGACAAAGTCCGGCATATTTTTCATGGCCGTTGAACCTGTCATAATCTCATAAGTGGTAGGCCAACGGGGATAGATAACTGACAGCTTGCACGTCTCTCTGCGTTCAAAGCGAACTTGTCTAGAATTACACTCCGTTTACAAGACCTGAAGGTAAAATTTGGGACATCGTGCATGTTAATCCATAGGCGCAACAGGATTAAATGCTTCCCTCCTGCCGGCTATTTTTTGTATGACGGACTGCAGCTCCTGATGGAGATCTAAACAGAATCCGGATGGTGTTGATGAATGACATAAGAAAATGGTGAGAAAAGAGCACATATCGCGCCGTGAGCGACTGAGA